ATTGGATGCATTCCCGCGACCGCTTTCGTACGTCTTTCTTTATGTTTGGCCATACAAATCTATCTGTGACAAGCTTTACAGTGACTTTTATACGTGGATGAGATATATTGTGTAATTTCTCAAAACTGTTTCGTCTCATACCGTAAGGTACAAAGGGGCAAGTTTACCTGTTGAGGTATCACAAATTAAGGTGTCCTTGTTGTTAATGGGGATTTTTTAAAACAATAATTTCGTTACCTTAGACTGCAACAATTTTTGCAGCTCCGTATAGAGCTTTTGATGCTTTGCCATTTCTTGATAATTTATATCAAGGATCGAGAAGGCATTGATATTTATTCTCGATAATGCATATGCTGCCTGATTTGCATTGCCTTTAATATAGTGTATATCAGCTGCAAATTGTGAAATGAATTCTAGTTGACGAATTTCGTTCGGACTGCATTTATCATGATTGTGCATCGAGGAATTAGTTAGAGGTTTGTGATCAGTATATATCGTGAAAGAACTACCTTCTAACATATAGCGGAAGTATTTTATGGCTAAGTAGATAGCCAACAGTTCTCTACCGAATGTGCTATATTTTGTTTGCGTTGCGTTTAGCTTCTTTGAGAAAAATGCTAGGCGTTGCCATTGTTGATTGACACGTTGCTGAAGTACAGCACCTAGTGCTACATTAGAAGCGTCGGTCATTACTACTAAAGGTGCATCAACCTTTCGTAGTACGTGTAATGCCTCTGTGTTAAAAGCGCTTTTCAACTGGTCAAATGCTTGAATTGCTTGTCGTGTCATTGTCTCCTTAAGAAATCAGTTAGCGGTTTTGCTATGTCTGCACATTCGGGGATAAAACGTCTGTAAATGTTGATCATCCCAAGGAAACGTCGTAGTTTCTTGAATGAATCAGGTAAAGGATAATTTCTGATAGCTTGTGTTTCCTCAGGAACTGGCTTAATGCCTTGATTATCAAGTACATGACCTAAAAACGTGAGGGATTGTTTTCCGAACTCACATTTGTCAGAGTTGACTGCCAACCCATACTCGTGTAGCTTCTCAACATGCATTTTCAGATGAGTTGGATGTTCATTTTCCTCTTTGCTTCGTATAAGTCGTTAATCTATGTAAGCCTATACAAACGGTAAGCCATGTACCACTTATTTAATAAAACGCTGGAAACTTTGTGCAGCATTCCTCGGTCCGAAAGGCATGCGAACGAATTCGTATAGTCCAAAATAAGTATTATTGGCTGTTTAAAGAACATCGTCCGGATGAATTGGAATGTTATGGTAAGCGCGAACTAGATCAATTTTTGAAAAAATCGACACGTCAGGTATGCTACGAGTGAAGTCGTGCAAACGTTTGAGAGGGTATAATTCTTTTAATTTCTCTACTCTGTTCGGCAAGTACAAGTTTTCTTATTTCTGACATCAACCAGTATTTCGTGGATTTGCAGAACGAGGAACGAGGACGTCTGCTATGATGAAACTCAATGAAAAATTAGATTTGGGATCAAAATTTAATTGTTCCCTCCTTTCGCCGTACGTATTAATGCCAGACTTGTTTCATGCTCGTAGTTTTAGTTTTGGGTCAGGTGTGTTTTTCTCGAGTGCACTGGGCGGCACAACACCAACACCTGCCCCATTATCGACTAAAAACTTTGTGCTACAAAGCGGAGTACATTTTCTAGCTTGTTCGCCGTACGTCCGTTCTATGATACCAACAAATGTTGTGTCTGGTAGTGCTTGGACTACGACGTCTACGGCTTCTGCATGTTCCTCTACATTCACTGTAGGAGGCATTCAATAATTGGATCTGGGCTATCAGTTTGATAAGGGTATCAACTGGTCGTCGTAACTCGGCGATCTCATGAGCTCAGCTTGAGTGGATGTGAGATACAGGGTAAGTGTTAGACCGCTCGTAAATTCTGTCGGCTATGTCTGCTAGCCTACCAAAGTCAACGTCTTCGTCTCCGAATGCAAGTATCTGTTGGATGTTTTGTGGAAGACGTCTGAGCCACAATTGATATAATAGACGTTTGTCTACTGTACGGTTTCCTAGTAAGCTTGTCATGTGGCGTTTTAACTGTGATGGTGTATAGTCACCTAGCTCCACGTTGGTTAAAAGTTGATCAATTGTCTGTTACCTTGAATTTACTTTGGTGATCCTTAAGTCATTCTATGGTCTAAGATAACGTGACAATTTCTTATTCATTCACTCCCTTGGATTATTTATTTGTACTCTGATTTCTATGACGTTTAATAATTTACATATAAAAATGCCCTGACAAGTATACGTGTGACCAGATTGTTCGAAATGTACAGCGCAAATACATCAAATTTGTCAGATCAACTCCATCTTCTCATTGTTCTATAGAAGTGAAACACCATATTTTTTGTTATTTATTTATTTAAACACATAAACATTCATAAAAGAAAGCACCAAATAAATATGCGCTACATAAATCATTCAATTTATATGAGTGCTGGGATATTGTCCAGGTGGCTAAACCGAAAAATGCACTTTTCTTCGGGGCCACAACCAAAGGCTGCAACCCGAAAGCCTGATCCATAAGGCAGTGGAGCAACCCAAGGAAATACATTCTCATGGTAGCTGGTAGTCAACAATTGGTTCATACACCATTTGTTTCCAACTCCCTTACGTGGATCCACCATATCCATCAACCTGGTAAGTGCGCCCAACATTCACTTTTTGTTCTCTCAATTTCGTAAACAACACACCTTACCACGAGAATACAGTGAGTAGGACTTCCTTGACGGTGGTTATATGCACGTGCCAATGTGATAGCATTTGGAATGAGATAGCATAATCTCTCCACTCTCGACCGTACCAGAGCATTTGGGGGCCAGTGTTTCATACATTCTTGCATATTAATCATAACAATATGATACATATCTTTTCATGAATTTCGACTTCAAGTCATTTAACACTATTATTGATAATGATAACAATAGACTATAGGAGTAAATTTTAAACCTGATTGTAACTAGAATAGTATGACATTTATATGTGTGTTTAGTTTATTCCAAAATACGCTAATTAATAATATAATAGTTTTAACTCGTCATAAGGGTTGATCGCTATCTGTTCAGTGAATAATACGTTAGTATTTGACGTGTAAATTATTGGACTTGAGGTTAAGTGTAAACATCAACCTTGTCGAGTTATAGCAGGTAAATAAAACTGATAATCTCCAAATAGGATCAAATGCTCAATCGGGTATCTAATATTATTCACAAATTGTACACTTTAAAACAATCGTTTAGTTGAAATTAGACTACCTCATTTCTTTTTAACGGAAACGTTTCAAGTGATTAACATACCTATACATTTTATCTCTATGATAACTGTAAAATTGAGTCTCTCGGCACTTTTGTAACTAGATAAGCAACTATTAAATTTATAGGGGATTTTCGTTTTTTTATGTGCTTATCGACTCTGTTGAATTCACAGTCTTATTGCCTCCACTTGATAACATGGAACCATTGAAATTCTTCCATGCACTACAGTTTCCATAATACAAAGTGAGAACACGAAAGATTGTTGCGATGAAAATTTACTGACTCTTTGAAAACCTGTTTCCAAAGAAAAAAATTAAAAATCACATCATTTTTAGACTATTATACAATCATTTATACAACCAATTTATAGTACATAAAAAGGGGGAAGCCAATACAATTACTGTAAAAATACATACAATAAATGTAGTTCACCTGAATTAATAGAGGGAATAAAATGAAAGAGAGTTCACACTTCTCATATAGAACATGGTTTATACTGAACTGATACAATAAACGTTTTTGATTCAGATCATGAAATGATTGATGTTAAAATATCATTGAAAACCTGGAAGCGCTGGACGGCAGTTTCGTCCTATTGTGGGGCAGCTTAGCAGCGCGCATCCACGATCCTCTTCGCGGGTCCAAACTCAGAGCCTTCAGTCTCACGCACGAACTTCTAACCTTTAGACCACTGAGTTGGCCGGTATCTGACGGTGTTAATGTCGATCTTTAACAAATCCACGAAATTGAGCAATCATATATATATATATATATATATATATATATATATATATATATATATATATATATATATATATATTTATATAGACTTAGCTAATTTCATCTTATTATCATCCCTTTCTTATCAAGCGCATATCTTACTTATATGACTTCATGAACTATGAGTTGAGCACTATTTCTTATGTTTAATCGTATGATATTCTCTTGTTTCAGTTGAAGCTTTGTTGTCCATATAAACTTATTCAATGTACTGTCTGAAGATCTTGAATTTATGTTTGATAACCTAACTATATTTATCCACTTATCATTCACTATTATTTATGAACAATCTTTGAGCGATGGCAGATTGACCATGGGAGTGTCTACCTAATAACTAGGATCAAATAAGTAATATAAACCAGTATGAAGTATTAGAATTATGATCTACAATTGGTGTGGGCGTAAGGGTTTGTTCATCACGAACTTACATCAGCTATAATATCAGAACACTTTTTAACGAAAAAGATGGATGATTTTTGCGTCAAAATCTAAAACACTATGATCTTATACCTGATTAATTCATCCTTCGCCCCCAAATGCCCTGGTAGGGCAGAGAGTGAGGAAAGTCCGCTTCGGTAAACGAAAAGCGAATATCCGGTGCTTTAACTGGATTCTAAACCAATGGTGACCATGAGCTCTAGTATACTGAGGGAACAAATGGCGTATGAACTAATGGTTGGTCATCGGCTTCCATGGGACTGCATCTCCTTACGATGCTCCACTGGCTTGTGGATCAGACCTTCAGGTCGAAGTCTCGGGGAGTGGCTCCTTTAGAAAACCACCTGCTTCGGTTTGGGCAACCGGACAGTATCACAGCTCTCACACATATCGAATGAAATTTGTGTGGCGCATATGTTCATCTTCAATTATAGTTTCACCAATAACTCTTCTTTTTTTCTTATTTCATTGATTTACTTTTGTTTATAGTAATCCAATTGAAGAAACAATTATCAATCGTTGGAATCAACCAATTATTAATCTTGATCTATTAATTGCTATAGTATGTATACAATCATTATATCGTGGTTATCGTATTCGAAATTCAATACGTTTAAATCAAACCAAATATCTAATAGAAACTTTATTATCTACCATAAATTCACAGAATAAGTCAAATAGAGATAATAATCATAAAATATGATTGTTAGGAATTAAACGTTTATCGATTGGTTGGATGTCTTGTTTAAATGCATTTCATCAAGGTCATTAACAAAGTGAGGCGGGAAATCAATTAATTGAAAACTTAATTCTTACTAATTCTAAAACTACTACTGTTAATTATGATAATAGTAGTAGTATACAAAGTAAATTATATAAAGATATGAATTCTTATTTAAGTATTAAAGAATATTCTGGTAACTATGGTGATATACAATCACCTTGTCCAATGTATCATACAGGACCTGAATAACATCATATGAATCAATTGCATAATTCATAACATAAAGATTGGATTTATTCATTATTTCGTGATTGTATTTATGTATCAAAATGTTTAAAAAATGAAATCATAATAATCAATGAAGAAGAAATTCAATATTAATTTCGTTTAAAAACGACTATACCGGATAGTTATATCCTATTGATCAATAATGATAATGGTATGTTTACAAATATGTACAGTAAGTAACTATTTATCAGTAGTATATAGTTATCGATGAGCCAATCAGAAGTGTCTGAGGGATTTTAAGGTTACGGTGTCCATTTCAATACCTGATGCTAACGTACAATCGATTTATACAAAACGTGATAAATGAAGGGTTATAACAAATGAAACGGCGAGACGAACCAATCGTGTATAACATAAGAGGTTTCGGATTTTGGCGCTAAAGTCATTTATCCGTTTGGCTATATATATATAGTTCCTAACCGAGGCAAATTACGACAATAAAAGCATCAGTAATACTAGTTGCAGCCAGGTACTACAATATATACGGATGTTTGGAAAGCATACAGACTCTTACATAGGCTTGTTTATGTGCATCGTGTCGTTATTCACAAGTAACTCTTTGTGCACTCAATAACCGGAGCGCACATAAACAATATTGAAACTATGCAGTCGAGGCGGAAATAATTTTTGAGACTTTATCATGGTTACAGCAGCCGATTATCCTGAAGCCATATGGATGATCTCCTCTACTGCATGCATTACGATCTTAGAACCTTTAAACCTCTTTGTAACCTTGAAAAGTTTTGAAACACATTTAAGAAGTGTATACGCTTTATTTCTTTGGTTTTGTATAACATATTTTTACTCTATACTGACTGTTTCTTGATTAGCTAATATTTATCAAGTTCACTTAGGATTCGTTCAAAGATCGTCCATAAATTATAGTCTCGCCTAATTATCTTATGTAATTAATTTCATTGTTTAATTAAATATCGGATCTATTTAAGTAGTTTGTACAACACAATAATGTTTACTTTGAATATTTTCTTATTGATATGGTTTAGTTGAGAGTTTGATGCAATTAAAAGGGTAAAGAAAAAATTGTTCTATTCAATTGTCCTATAGATAATCTATATCAAATAAATTATGGAGTCACCTAGCGTTATCTAATTTTCAGTGATTCTGATACATCTTTTATTCGAGCGATTTCGCACAAATTTCCTTATTATTCCCTGCTCTCTAAAAGTCTTATACTGTTGAACGACGAACGGATAGTAAATGTGAAAGAAGTTTAACTTTGGAGCTTAGTTTATGTACAGAGTTGGGGAAATGTAAGTACTGGAGAAGCTTTCACGATGTGAGGCATCGGATCTTATTCCTGCGTGATGATGTGGTGAACACAGTACAAGGATAATAATGTAATTAGATGTGAGATTTTGGAAAACATGCTGAAATTGGGAGTTGTCCACTCAGGATAATGAAAAAATAACGTCTTTCTCTGAATTCTCTCAGATTTTTCTTAAAAACTCTGACTATTTGAATTAATTTCAGTATTTATCTTGGTTCTTAGACTTTTCAAGGAAATTGTATATATACACATGAGTTGCGTTCTTCCGGGCTCCTTGTGGAATATATATTTTCCCGACTGAATCTTGCCTTCTCCCTTTAGTTAACAAGGCTGGGGTACAGTTAAATAACTTAGCTTGACCTGTTGTTTTCTTGCTGTTTTCGTTTCGTTTACTGATCCTAGGTGATATCTTAATCTCATGAACATCGAACCAATAAATGACCATTCTCAACGGAGTGAAATCGGAAATATGAAGTGTTGGATTCTGAATTTGTAATTTAATACTATCATGTTCACTGTTGATCATATGTTGGATAACGAATTGTACTAGGATTATGTATTACTCAAAATGATGAAATAAATGTAATACATAAAGTTGTATAGTTTTCTAAAGCTTTTTATCTCATATCAATCAGTAATATTGATCTGTGGTTGTGAAAGTAAAATATGATTGTCCATTGAGTGTGAACGAACAGACACATGGCCTATTTACTATAAAATATGTGATTTCCTTTCTCTCCTTGATTTCTACACAGGAATCATGGAGAGTGATCACTTGTAACTTCATTGTGAAACATGACCTGTTAGAGTAGAGGATATTCGTAAGTTACTAGTATCCGGTCATATGTGTCTTCGAACCATTGATCGTATACCATAGGACCACCGAGTGAGTAATCCAGTTGTTAGTAAACGGGTACTAGAGAAGCATGGCAAATCAGTTGATGAAGTAGTGAAACTTAATCGGTTGAGAAAGCCGAGACACGTGTTACGTATGCCCAATCACCGACTTCCTCGACGAGCGATGTTTTATGGTGTATATCAATGAATAAAATCATGAGTCAATTGAAGCTAGATCACCATGAATAACCTGGAAACATTGTACGGCCGTCACAACCTTGCATGGGACACCTCACCGGCAGTGCACATCCACGATCCCTCACTCCGCGAGGTTCGAACCCATGACCTATCAGTCTCATGCAAGGCTCTTAACAAACTAGAGACCATGGTGGTCTGACTTCAATTGTCTCACGATTTCAATCAATGACATTTCTAAAGGTCTCCAAAAAAAACTCTTCTCATATATTAATATATCTTTAGAAAATAATATATATATATATATATATATATATATATATATATATATATATATATTTGGAGTCTATAACAGAGTAAAACCTAATAGTTCGACTGGTATGTATCGATAATATTCCCCGTCTCGCGAGATTTGAACCCAGGACATATCAATCTCTGGATTGTGGATACCCAGTGTTGAGGAGTCCAATAATATAACAAAATGGCTATCCAATGCTTTCATGATTTCCATCGAGGTTAAGCTTCAATTAATTCATGAATTCAACTATTGAAATTACTATAATATCCACAAAGACTACTTCTTATATATAAATTTTATTGATATGATCTTATTCCATCACTTAGTGTGAGTGTCATAGATCTACATATGGTCTGTCGTGTAATGAATACTACATATGTAACACTCAGTGATGTTGGATAGGAACTTTTAATAATATCATTCTTGTCAAAATGTCAGATAATACGTTTTGGACAGGATGAAACTTAGATCTAGGACTATTAGTTGATTAACTTCAAACGTCTTAAATCGGACAAATAAAACTTCAACATCAGATCATTTATATAAGTGTTTGTACTGTTGATTAGTGAAGGTGATACTAGTTACTATGAGGTGATAGACTGTTATGAACCTACCTCTTGAACGCAACGTTTTTCCAGTCTAGTCAATATATATTTTAAGGGGCGGCTTCCGAAACCTGATACTGATAGACGATTTAATACGCGCTGCAACCTCCCAACTGACTACTTGAGTGTGAAAGTATGTTGAACTAGCGAATATGTCAATCATTCACTTACAAAGTACGATCAGTCACATATATGTATCGGTTAAAGTGGCCATACCACATATGCACAGCTAGACCAACACAGGATTCATAGAAGTAGTTAATTCAATCGTGGTAATAAATAAGAGAAAGATTTATATAGGAATATAGTACAGAAAGAAAGGATTAGTTGGTACAAAGAAAGATATGAAGCGATTTCAATCTCACAGTTTAAGGGTAGACATAGTGTGTATACACCCATACCATTGTGATCGATCGATTCTGAGTCACGTCACTCACAAAATGATTAAATACAGGTTTTATTGAAAGGAGCAGGTCTTTTAGGATATATTTTGAACTTGTTTGATTGCTGACTAGTCATGTCATTTCCTCACAAATCGTTTGACGCATATTGATATTTACGCACCAATATTCCACATTGTAGCAACAGCATGACTTGTCAACCAACACAGTTCAACGGAGAACCTGATATCACGTCTGATTTTTCAACTAGTCTCTTATCTAGCTAATTTTATGTATTAGTACACTTTATTTCTATGTGAAGTCGTTGTCGAGTTTCTTTGCTTGATAAATAGTTTAAATCTATTTTTGCACAAATAAAGGGTAGGCAGGCAAAAATAAAATTACCAATGTTATATGTGAAAACTGATAATCATTCTCATCTGTTTCTGTAGAACTACTTGAAGATGATGTGATTTGTAAATAAGCCAAGCCAGTTAATGAAGGTCAGAATGAGTTTTAGTAAGGTTTTTATCAATATAATAATATTAATAGTAGTGATAATACAACAGAAGTGACTGAAGCCGAACTTTATGTTCATCTTCACTTTATAGTTAAATATTTACCATTTTGTGGTAGATCGAATGACCATTTTCGAAAGCATCCAGATCATGAATGCCACTATGAACCTATAAAGAAATCTTCCAGATCAATTCGTGAATCTCTACAATATTGAAGTCTGCAGGCAATTAGAAGCAGATTAATTTCAGTTAAGAATTATTAGAATGAGGAAAGTTATAGAATAATGTGACTTTGGTAAAATAATTACTCTCCTGAATCACATTAGATGCATAGAACCAGTACTCTCTGAATGATACAATTTTCCGGGAATCGAATTATCATTCAACATATTGTTGACTAAATCAGATTATTAAATGATGAGTGAATAGCAAAATATCACAATATTCAATCTGTGTAGATTTCGATTACTCAAGACACAAATCAAACTAAATGAATAAGACAATGCTGCTTGAACCGAATGATACTGGGTTCGAGTCACAGAGGTAACATCAATTATGGGATGTAGGTAT